ACAAGCACTACTGTAAGTTTCAGCCCTAGGTACAGGTACAAGTATTTCATGGCCTTATAATTAGAAATATAAAATACATTAAAAATATTTATTTGTGGCCACTTCAATTATCAATGCTAACCTTAGGTCAGGCTATTTAATATATATTTATCAAACTTCTTTACAAATGCAGAAAAGCTGAAGCTAGAATAAGTAAAAATCCTTTGAGTGTTTTCCCCAACTATATTACGTTTAGATTAATCATTAATTATAATAATAATAATCTATCTTATCCAGTAAAATTACACTATGATAGTCTACGCAATACAGTGCACATTGTGATTCCTAGGTCAGCAGTAGGTGAGTGGCTTATAGCTTGGATAACAATAATTAAGTGATTAATACCGGAATCGAAAAGATTTAACCCATAGTTAATGACGAGGGCAATGCAATGCGTGCCATACAGAATCTATCTTCACGTTTGTATAGAGTCAGGATGACGTTTGCAACACAAAACTCGTACAACCGTATCGATTAGGAATAATTACTCTACTTAACATTGGTTTTTCAGTTTCTAACTACGAGTTCAATGCTTGTGCATTGTTTAATGACGATCTGTGCAGGTTTTAATTATATTTATTCCCTGTTATATATTGTTTCTTGTGAAGGTTTTTGTTTTGTATTGTCTTTGTTGTCAGGGGATTGGTTAAGCACATCACTTGATAACAGTTTCTTAACTTTTGCCTGTTTTTCAACCTTTTTTTGTTTTTGTCGAAAGATTGAAATAAAATAAATAAATAATGAAAGGCTTTCAGATATGAACAATATGGGTCAAAGAATCCCAATATTGTTTAATTTAATTCATGGGGAAAATTTTTACTATTTCAAATTTTTAATTCCAAGTTTAATCAAATTACATATGCTTGGATGCTACAATATTGTACATAACAATTTTATGTGATACTGTATTGTACATAAATTTCTTTTTGAGCTTGGCAGACAGTTTATCTTCGTAAAAAAAAAATTCCCTTTTTTGTTTGGTGAGATTGGTTAATCTATAAACCAAGAGGTCAGAGGTTCAAATCTGATGTTGGCAATTTCCTTGTTTTCTCGACCAAGGAAATCTATGTTTTTTACTCTTAACTACAGTACTTCAGTTAATGCTAACTGACAGGATAATAATGTTTTATGTTGATAATCTCAAGTTAAAAAAAACTTGTTTTGTTTCCTTTGGTTCTATATTTCTAGTTCTATCAGGATATGAACCGCCTTCGTCCTGGGATGGCCGAGACTTATTTTGGTCCTGGACAAGGATACATTTTGATAGATGCCTGGTCAACAATGAGGGCCTATCCCAATACTGCAGTTTGGGTGCTGGCTTTTAGTTCTTTCCTGGTTTTTCCAATTACTGTACCTCTTCATTTGTTTTTAGTGCATAGAGACCCTCATATTTTGCATGGTATAAATGCATCTTCTTTATTGTTTAGTCTATGCGAATTATTCATGTGAGAAGGAATATTCCCCAAGGAACATACAGGACATTTCATGTTGTTTATGATTCACTACTGTTGCTCTGGCAACAACATTTACACAGTTTTGAAATAATTAGAATACTAGAAAGCAATATTAAATTTTAAAAAAAAATATGATTATTATTAAAGATTAATTATTCTTTTATCTGAATTTTCATTATCATTATTATGACTAAACATTATTGTCATATTCATCATCATCATCTTCATCCTCATTACCATCATCATACTAAATTTTTATATTGTTAAAGCCCATGTTGTTGCCTACTGTGTGTATGCCAGAATAGAAATACTGTAGCTATTACAATACCAGATACAAGATACAAATTTCTTTATTGTCCAAACGAATGGAAATAACAGTGCTAATGACTGCCAGTACAATACAAAATTAATTTATTATCTTAAATACTTCAGATTGAAATCTCGTATCCCAGCTGGGTAGAATGAGTACTTGTAATGGTCCGTGTGCGCATTCACCGTGCCAATACTGTACCTTGTGGAGCCCCCGCACAGGTACTGTATACCCAATGTCAGAAATTAATTATTCTGTAATTTTACATATGGAAAACGTTCAACCAAAAAATTAAAAATAAACGAAATTAAAAAGCATCGAACATTCATATTAAATAATTTACTAACAAGCATAGCTAGTACTCCAAAATGAAATGTTATGATAATAAAAGAAATATTATCATAATTGGCACACTTTTGTAGTAGACAGTCATAATAAAAACACAAAAAACTGCTTTCAGTAATTTTTATTCTGCAGTATGATGACAAGTAATTGTATGGGAGTAGACTGTTAATGTTTCAAAGCGAGTGTCCCAGTAGGTAGGAGTCAATAAATCAGTATCCTGAGGGTACATCTATAGTATTGCCTGCTGTGTATGAATATGTACCGGCCTGTGGAACAGTCTGCGTACGAATGTTAAGCAACACTTTTGTTTTGAATATAGTACTTTGTTTTGTGGACCTCGCTACCATCATGATGAATTTCAATAACAGAATTTGTTTTCACATGTTTTACACCCAAACTGAGGATGAAAACAAATTCTGTTTTATTTTTTTGTTCCATTCAAAAGAAAATGAAGTTCTCTAGAAGGTATAGTTTAAGAAAAGTCTTGTTTATAAAAATGAAACTGTTTCACTAATATTAGAATAGGAGAAGCAAGGTTATCAACTTCAGATACAGATGTACAGTACTCAATTGAAATTGATCCAGGGGTTTAGCCAGAAAAACAAAATAGACCGTCCAAAATGGAAGCTAGTGAGTGTGGCACTGAGCGGATGGGTGGGCCACGCCCATCATTAGGAATCCCACCGATTATTGGTACGAAAACAACGTACATTTAATCAATAAATGTTGTTTTTATTAAACGTAAATATGATTTAGCTTTAGTTTACTGTAACATTCAATAGATTTGAAGAATATAAAAAATTTGCTAAAGGTAGACCAGGCCCAATTAGGCTAGGTCGAGCTGATTAGGCCAAGTCGTCCAAGCCGTCATGGTAAAAGTGGCCGTCCTAAATAATTGTAGGCCGTCCAAAAGACGGCTGGACGACTCGCTGCCTAAGCCAATGAATTGATCCCATATTGTAAAGTGTTATAAATGAAACTGAAGGAAAACACAGATAAGGATAATACAAACTGTCCCGTATCTATAACAGCTACATACCTGTAAGTGGAAGGAGAGGTGGAGGGATATTGCTTGTGTAACAAATTCCATCGCACTGTTGATCACAATAACTAGACATTTGCATAAATTGCAATCTATTGGAATGTTTGATGATGAATCGTATAATTACTAGTAATTAGTTGAAAACCAATAACATTTAGTTGCAAGTTGGTTTTACAGTACATTGTATTCTTAAAAAGCTAACATAATACATTCAGAAATTATGGAAATTATAATGCCATAGCCATCATATTCTGATTCTTCTTGAAGCATGGTTCACTTTGTATTATTTGAATTTGTTTTTTTTCTTTGCATCATGACATACTGTATGCTCCCACATAATTACAAAAGCCAATGTACATTTGCATTGCTCTAGTTTAGAATACAGAGTTGAGACTGTTAATATTTCATTGAACTACTGTATATACAAGTAGTTGGTGTACCAGTAATTTACTGTATTCAATTAACATCTCGACGAGATTTGATTGCCAGATAAACCGACTAATCAGCAAGCGTCATTTAGTCACGTGATCAAAAACTTTGTCTCGGACATTTTAATTTAGTAGTACTATTCGTGATCAACGACATAACATGGTAACTCCAAGAGTTACTCATTTTTAAAGTGTTTTTAGTGTAATATAGTAGTAGGCCTATACAGAATATTGTTATGAAAGAAAATTTTCATGACAAATTCAGATACACTACAATAATACACACATCTGCATATTGAAGAACAAAGATAAAATAAAAAAAACCAAAAAACTCCTGTATAAGGCAGTAGACACACGCTTCTGCTAGGAGCCTATTTTTTTGCTTATGTCAGATGGTTTCCATGAAAATATATTTACTCTGTTGAAATGCATGCATTATGATTTCTGTACCATTGATTTTTTAATTAATTTTGTAAAGAGTGGATTGTCAGCTATTGTTGAGCTACATTTAGTATACGGATAACGTTTGGTGCTGGAGGCATTTTGTGAAGCTGATTCTCATTTTTTGATAGTATAAAAAAAAAGTTCTCCAGGCCTAGATGAGCCTCAAAAGCAGTGGAGGATTGGCCTATCTTTAAATTACTCATAGACCGATGCACTGTTTGTATTTAAATATGCGTCTGAAGTGCTCAGAAATAGTATTACTGTACATGTCTCTACATACCCCATAGCATCGAAATTCGAGCACTCCTTCAGCCTTCGTTTAGTTACTGTATAGTTAACTTTTGAAATAAGTAGTTTATTATAGTCTGTTCTGATCAGTGCTGGAGTGGTATACCTATTTGGCCCAACAATGCATATTTTTTAATGTAAACCTATTTTCTTTTCATTTGCTATGAATTAGGCCCTATAAAAAATATTATTAGTTTATCACCCTATCTGGGTAGGAAAAAGTGATGAGGGAGGGAGGCTTTTTTTTTTTAAATTTTTTATTTTGCTAAAGCCAAATATTACCCTTGGGTTGTTTGCTGGTGCATTGATATTCAAAGTAAAACATGATTTAGATAATGCAAACAATATCTACTAACTATTTAATAAAATAAATGAAAAAAATAAAATAAATAAATAAAATTTAAAAAAAAAAAATTAAAAAAAATTTTTTTTTTCCAGTACCATAGAAGGCATGCGCGCGAGGGTGATAAACTAATAATTTTTTTTATTGGGCCTTAAATAAAAAGGGAATAATAGAACAAAAAAAATTGGTGAATTGTGATTAAGCAGTAGTAGTAGTAGTGTCTCTTGGATTAACCTTAGTGCTCTCTCTAGAGGTACAGTACGCCCTACTGATTAGCAATATCGTTTCTTTTCTTTTTTTTTACCAGATTGGAATTATGGTCATTAGAATGCATTAAAGAGTAAGGAATCGACAAGACGAAGCAAGGTAAAGTATTAATCCTCACAACCTTTGAACTCCTAACCCGAACATGTCAAATTTCTGCTTAAATAACGTGATTGGATTTTTAAAGATCGTCTTTTCATTGCAGTACTGTATGTAGCTAAAGTGGATTAAATGTGGTATCTTGGTTGTTTATGCTTTGATTGATAACCTGCCATGCTATGGCTCATGGCTTTTAATTCATCTGTTAAATATGTTTTTGAAACATTTTGTGCAAAAATGTCTTTTAAACTTGCTACTTTGTAACAAAAAAATAGCATTATATTGTAAAGCCCTTTTTTTTTGTGCGCGCTTAATGTTTACGATTTTTCTAATAAAGCAATGATCGCGAATATTAAGGGCGTGCTACAATAATGAAATTCTGAATGATAGTTGTGTCTTCAAAAGCAAAGTCTTATCTACTGTAGTATACTGTCAACTGATATTCCCGCATAATGATTTTTTGGAAACGCTCCTGCTTCTTTGTGTTTTATTTTTCAACCATTCAATCACATTTTAAAAGTTAACAGTATTCTGACTAATGTAATCTTATTCAGAAAATATAAAGCTATCTTGGCTGCTCTATCACACTAGCCAGCCTGCAATCAGGAGGGTAGGAGAGTTCTCAAAAATCAGAAGAAACAGACAAAATTAGGAGCCTTAGCTATAATATAGGCTAAAAAAATTAATAGTAGATTCCATCATGTTAAAATATGACTGAAAATAAAAAGACCGCAAAATATTATAAACTGTAAAATTGCAAAAAGAAGGGGCCGCGAAAATACAGGGCTTTTACAGTATCCTAAATTTCATAATCTTGATTTAAATTCAATCACCATACTGTCGATTTTTTCCTGCTTATTATATTTGTTTACCTATTAAAAATACTATTTTGTCTGATGAAAAAACATGTGTTGTTTTTATTTGCATATTACCAAGTTCTTGTATAAAAACTTAAAAGATTTTGATATACAGTATTTACTTATTTTGTTGGATGAATATGATTATTCCTCTTTACAGTTACATTTTTCATCTTGAACCTTTTTATATGCATATAGTGAGTAACACATTAAACATTGCAGATATAATATTTTCGCTTTTATACCTGTTGGTAATTTCAGTCAATCATCCAGCTATTTATAAGGCGCAAGTGTCTGTCCATGGGGGAGATACTCGTGGCGCCATCATCTTAGAATCATTTTGAGGGGATTTCTCAATGAAGTAACAATATTATTAGAAAAGGTTTTGATAACCATTCTAATTGATATTAGGCCAAGTAAAAGAAAAAGTAGTTTCTTATCCTAATATTTTGAAAAAAGGAGAATGAAGGCACTTTTTTTATTTATTTTTTATTCCGAGATGGCAAATCAAGATGGTCAATGAGAATTAGCTACTACTTTCTATCTTTTACCAAGTAGACACATTGAAAGCAAATAAACATAGTACTACTTACATGAGTCATACCATATGTATCCCCAACCATGAACAACTGAGAGAGGAATTTTAAGGATGAGGTTTTTGTACATTTGCGAATATGAAGGCAATAAAATTGAAAAAAGAAAAAAAAAACTGGTGAGGCAAAAAAAAAAATGGATATGGCTCACTCCATGAAGTTAGGACACAAAGTGTGACATGAATGTCCAAAATTCGAAAGTGTTATTTCTCCATCCTTATAACAATTTTATGTACTCCATATAGTAGTTTACTGAGAAAAAAAATGTGCCCCAACTTCATGGAGTGAGCCATGTGCGAGGAGATGAGAAATTAGTAATTTTTCTCATTTCGACCTAATTTCAGAACCAGAAAAATTTATGTATTATATTAAGAGTTAATATTTCAGATTTGAACTTTCATTCTGAAATTTAATGGGAAATTTATTAAATTCTGAAGATATAATTTACTAGTGCATGGACATTAAGAATTGTCAGTTGCTATGTACATTGTGTAAACAAATCTTGTTGGAGGTACTGTAATTGAAATAGATTGAATTTCACTAATTACAGGTTACTAAGTAATAATGCATTTTGTTACAGTAAGTCTATGTTAATGAATATTGCACACTAATATAAGGCCAAGGATGAGAAACTTCTTGGCCTATATTGTATTAAAAGGCAGTTTCTCATAAAAAGCATGTAATGTAGATATGATTAATTACAAACATATAGGTAAAATCTTCACAATTTTAGAATCGGTAATGAAGAAGAAGCATTGCAAAGTGGGTGCACAATCTACAGTGTAGGCATACTCATATTTCACAGTGTTAAAGCATGGGCAAATTTAGACTACATGAATTCAACTTTTTCATCATAGATACACCATTTTCGCCAAATTTGAAATGAAAATTTCCGATAACCTGGCAACCACCACTGGGGAATTTTCAAAGGCCTAGTATTTCACTCTACATAGTTACCATCATAGAATAATTAAATGATAAAACTAAATTACTTAAATGAGCATATGAGTATTTTAAAACGAAAAAATAATGAAATGTTTATATTTAGTCTTAAAAAGCTATTTAAATGTTTACATATACAGTAAAGCATGATCGTACAGTATGTTTTGTCTACTGTGGCTATAGCAAAGGTCTAGTGGTGCGATCTGCTCCGCAGTGCTCTATATGTAACCATGGACCTATTAATATGATATAACTAGCCAGCTGCTCAGGCTAGGCCGCTGGAAGTCTCCCAGTGAGTTGTGAGACGTTGGCGGTGCTGCTTCATCATTCATGCAAGTCTAATTTTATCAAAAAATCATTAATTAACAAAATGCATTTTAAAACCAAATAATTTCTATATTCATAGATTAATAAAATTGACTCAGACTTTAGACTTATTTCGTCCATTAAAAAAAGAAAAATTTGATGTCTTAAGAAAATACTGTAGGTTTTTCAGATAATAGCATAGGCCTATAAATGTCAGACTCTTGATAAAATATTAATACATACAGTATGACAGAATATTATTATATCATATGAATTTTCGAATGAGGCAACACCTTGCCTCTTTGCCCAGTCTTTAAATATTAAAAATTCTGAATATCTGAATTTTTAAGCCGTAATAGCCCGATCATTTCTTTTCTATTCTGTATTTTATAAAATTAATTTGTACAAAACATATTTAAAAAAATAGTTTCTCTTAGAGCCAACTTTAAGTGCAAATGAAAATACCTACTTTGCAAAGGGAAAATTGCTGAAGAATACGACACCAGAGGTGTGAGCAGACTGGCTTTAGGCAAACAGTATATCTTTAATTTTATTTTTTTAAATAAGTAGTTCATTTGAGAAAGGTGAGTGTTCTGTGGCTATATAGCGTCTCGTCACGCATGGATGAGTTTAATGAACGGTGGCAATATGGAACAGCAATAAGGAGAGTGCAGTATAATCAAATGGCAAGCCGCGTGGTGCGGTCAATCACCGTGTGTTGCTATGGAGTCAAAAAGATCTGGCTCCTGGCTATACAATTTTAGGATTTAACTGGTAAATGATGAACTATTGGAATCGTTGCTTGATTTTTTCGGCTAACACATTTATGTCTTGGACTATGAGAAGAGCAGAGCTTTCCTCTGGTGGTTACAATGAAAATTTCTTTATCTAGGTTGAGATTTTTGCTATTAAAGTCCTGCCATTCTACTATAATGAAACTTGAGTTTTCTCCTCGGCTTGTGTCTGGCAGTACTGTACTGCGCATTTATAATTGATATTCAAGATTAGGAAAGCTGTGAATGATTGAAAGTGTTATTTATTTTATATTTTCTTTAAATATTTCCAGACCAATATTGTTACTAAAAAGATGGACAAAATGTGAATAAAAATTAAAACTTTTACAAATGAGGGAATAAATAAATATGAATAAAAATGAACTGAAAAGAAATTGAAGAGAAGTAAATGAATTTATGAATTAATGAATATGGAGAAATTAAAGAACAAATTATGGATGGAAAATATTTGAAGTCTTAATATGAGATAATTATATACATTTTTTCATTAGATAAACATGATTATTTTATTTTATTTATTTATTTGGTTTTTTTTTTACAACTACAAACATTAGAAGTGTTTAATGATTGCAGCACCGTAGGAGTCAATATTCTAATTTGCAGATCCAGTAATATCAATGTTTGAAGATAAATTATACGTAAATGATGTTATAGACTTACTGTCTAGTTAATTCACACAATCAGCAGATCATTGCAACTATGATAATCTACTAGCGAATTGTATTGGAGACATAGCTGAAAGCACATAGGCGCTTTCTCCGGATTAAAGTTACAGTCTATTCTCCCAGGGATCTGCTTTCCTCATGTTTACAGCTCATCATAAAATACACTCGATGCTGCAAATATATTCTTTTCTACCTATTATAATGAATGATTATTTCTGTTGCAGAAATTGCATTCTGGTTACCATGGAAATTACTCAATGGCTTCTTGGGATTTGTGATAATTAGGCTCTTTGCTGTTTGTACAGTGTTTGCTTGTAAGGAGTTTTTCTGAAGAGATGTCTGAAGGATTGCTAGCCTCCTTTCTGTAGTTCAACAGCAGCTTATATTTTTAAGAGTTTCTGAGAGTTGCAGCATATAATATTTTTACTAACCTCTATTGTGGTTCAGCAAAATTATGAATAAACTTAGCAGGCATGATTTCAATAAGTTGTTTTTACTTTACATTTGGTTCATGGAAATTCAGTGTTCAAGTAATTAATATAAATCAAGTCATGAGAAGCCAATAGTTCCTGCTTTTTGTGGCGTACTGTAAACCCTGTTCATACCCGGGTATTATATCAGTTGTTAATTTGAGTCTGGTTGCCCGAATCCTTGAATAACTAGCACCTAAGTGTTCGTCAGGTTTATAAGAAATCCGTTCATGTTGGAGTTAAAACGGGTGATGCTACACTCTGGCTGCCATCGGTCCCCAACAGCCCAGCCTAAACTTCATTTTTTCAACTTAAATGAGGACAAAGAATTTTATAACACAGAAAATGTACAGCATTTTTTCATTGGAATTACATATCGGCACTATATAAATGTTTTATTTTATCAGCAACAAACACATCTGAATGCCTACAAACAACAAGTAAACACTTTTACCACCAATCCTGTACAGGGCTGGAAAAAGTGCATGATCGCGCTACCCGCAGTTGGAGGCAACATGAATATCCCGGAGGCATTTTGGGGAAAGCAAATTAAAAAAAAAGTTTTTGGGCTATATAGTGTATTTGGTCATGGAAGCATTTTATTGAGATAACTTTCATGGGCGAAGGCACAAGAAATTTATTTTTCAGGCCTGATCCTGTACTTAAATATGGAAATATCCAAACTAATATGAAAGTAGATTTTTGACATCGGCAATGAAATTCATTAGTGAGTACACTGAAACAGAGGTGTATCTAGGATTCTAGAAATGGAGGGGCTAATGGGAGGGCACGAAGATGAAGGGGGGCTTCGATGATTAATTGAGGGTAGGGGGAGATGCTACAGTAGTTTGCAAATAAGGAACAGTTCGAACACAGGTTATATTTAACTACTTGAGCGTTATTTTTTTTTGCTTCAAACATTTCCAGTTGGGAAGGGAATGACTGAAGTATCCCAAGCATTTTTCCTCATTTGTATAAACGTGATATGGTGCAGCCATGGGAAGAATTTAGGGGGAGATGCTACAGTAGTTCGCAAATAAGGAACAATTCGAACACAGGTTATATTTAACTACTTCAGCGTTATTTTTCTTTTTGCTTCAAACATTTCCAGTTGGGGAGGGAATGACTGGAGTACCTCAAGCTTTTTTCCTCATTTGTATAATGTAATATGGTGCGGCCATGGGAAGAATTTAGCATAGCATTCAAGCTCATGACTAGATCACATCAGGTGGATAATATCGTGGATATGCTACAAGACTCATGCATTCATTCATGTATACATAGAGCACATGTACAGTATCACATAAACAATTATAATGAGTTGTGCTAAATCAATTTTCATCAAGCAATATCTGTCAGATTATTATGCAGATAATATTAATATAGAGATTAAAGAATATCTGATGAAAATCAAGTAATATCTGTCAGAGTATTATGCAGATATGTTATTAATATAGAGATTAAAGAATATCTGATGAAAATTTATGAGAATCATTTTTATCCATGTTGCCACTGGTAACATAATCTATAACAAACATCATTACCATCATCATTTTGCTTTCTCCTGCTGATATTATTATCTTTTCAATTTTCACATTTTCACATTCTACATTAAATCATGCAAGTTATACATTTATATTATACCAACATTCAACTCATACAATAATTTAAAAGATTATTGGATTCTGAATTTGCTGCACAAACATGCCACTGTCGTATAATCTTTAGCATGTAATTATCTTGCTTTCTCCAGCTGTTGTGTTTATTTTCATTTTAATTTTTGATACATCACCTTGCTACTTCCACAATTGATCTCAATTTATCATTTGGTGAATATTTTTGATTCTGATTGTCATTACAAATTTCTACCATTACAATAAATTTTAATCTTTAATACATGTATTAAATTAATTCATATATTGTATTTTATATTCATTCATCCCCGTCATGCTGCAGTATAATCAAATTTTCTGTGCTAAGTCATTAACTTTGTAAATATTCATCCTCAGTTTTGAATATATGCAAGAGCTGTTTTCCTGTCTCTTATACACATCTAGATGTGTATAAGAGACAGGTCAAGTGATTTGGGTGGAAATCGAACCCTAACCTCCAAATACCTTGGTCAGGTTTAGGGAAAACAGCATTCCTATTGGCTTTCCTGACACAAAACACCTTTCAAAATTATTATTATCATTCTTTGGAATTATTATATGCAGCCTGTCTCTTATACACATCTAGATGTGTATAAGAGACAGAATGCAAAGTGGCTCTATGTTCCTAATACATTAATTTGACCATATTTGGAACAAAAATAATACTTTGTATTTTGGGAAATCACCATAGACAGGAAGAATATAAAGTGCATTAAACAAGATTTATTGGATACAAGTTAATGCCAAGAAATAGAGATAAGTGGCACCTCAGCAGAACAGATTAGTAATACTGTAGGTTGAGGATTATTAACCATACGAAGACCCAAAACCAGATGGAGAGATAAGATTGTCAAGGATTGGCAGTTAATGGACAGAAGTAGATGGTTTCAGATTGGAAAGGAAGCCTTTGCAATGCAGTAAAGTAGGCTGATGATGATTTTGAACAAACACTTAATGGAACTTCCTGGAAACTATGTTAAAGCTAGGTATTGGCATTCAGACCTTGGGGAAGGAAGACAATGTGAATAAATTACTTGCATCTGAGATGTATAACCACAGAGTGACTCCAATATCTGACAAAAAATGTCTACAATGTCTAAATAGACATGAATTTTTTATTTATTTTATTCCTTCCCGCAAACAGTACAACACACAAGGAGAGATCTTATATATACCAATGTGTACATAGGATCTGTGATACAATAGAACACGGACAAGGACGAAGAAAGAGGGAGGCTGCAGAGGAGCAAAGTTGTACAAAACTACAATCACCTGCAAGGGTGTGCCCCTTCAAGTCCAACTTTCTAAACATTAAACATCAATTATAAAAATAGTTAATGAAAACAATCCCCTTTATTCAGATCCCTCCATTCACAAATATGTCTCCTTATAACTCCCGCATTAACACCTTCATTCCTCTCCCTTCTTGTGCCTCCTACGTTGAAAATTATATCGTTCAATTCAACTCTTTGACATTTATTCATTATATTTACAACAATCCCATTTAAAAGACAAAGAATAGCCTTCCTCAATGACACCCTTCTCTATAAAGCAGTGCTCATGCAAGTCCAATCATGGAAGGACAGGAAAGCTGAATGTTGAAAATTGCATTTGAAGGAAGATAATCGTAGAATAAGGAATGAGGGTATGGATTGGTCAGGGATTGGGTTATAGAGAGGAAAGAAATGTATACTCATACGATGTAATCTGAATGGAGCAATTGAATTCAATTTTTGAATTTAAAAAATAACCTTAAAATATACTTGACACAAGACATTAAATGTATGGATAATGTTATCAGTCAAATTTTAAAATTTTCCATTTATCTTATCGCATAGCATCCATTCTTTGATGTCATTTGTGTCGTTAGAGTTGTCTAAGCCATAATCTCGCGGTGAGATGTAATGTGGACTTATCATGGCACATTGATTATTCAGCAAGGCACTTAAACTGAGCCTGAATGTCGAATGACTTTCAAGTCTACAGGTCACGAAGGAACGAAAGCCATCCTTCGTATAACATTGCCATTTAATTGCTGTTATTGTGTTAACAAAAGAGCAGAATTCTGCTACGGTGATGCCATGTTGATTAGCGGTGATCATGTTGTTTGTATGAATCATCAGTGTCATGTCGATTGTGAAGTTAGTATAAAAATTATAATTTGTATTTAGGTTGCCATAGATACAATGTATGGCTTAATTTATAGTGATCATATTTTAATTTTTGTCAGCTATAGAGTTTATGATACCATACTAGTTTTCTGGAAGTTGTGGGTTTGATTCTCACCAGTGCTTGTGAAAAATTCTCACAAGTGATTTGGGTGGAAATCGAACCCTAACCTCCAAATACCTTGGTCAGGTTTAGGGAAAACAGCATTCCTATTGGCTTTCCTGACACAAAACACCTTTCAAAATTATTATTATCATTCTTTGGAATTATTATATGCAGCGCATAGTGTTAATAATACCTGCATCTTTTTATTAGTAGAAGCGGTTGGCGCATCGGTTGTGGCTTGGACTCCCAACCTTGGGGTTAGAGGTTCAAAACTCTTGCTGTCAAAGTCGCTTGTGTCCTTGGGCAAGGCACTTTAGCTACAGTTGTCTCTCTCCACCCAGGAGTACAAGTGGGTACCTGGTAGGTTCAAACACAACCATGTGATGATTACAGCTGCAACATTATGGAATTCTTCCAAGGGACCTGAGTATGTGTTCCATATGTGCTTGATCTAATAACCGTTGTAATAATGCTAAACGCATAGTGTCTCTACAATATGCGCTATAAAGTAGACAATTATTATTATTATTATTATTATTGTTATTATTACTATTATTAATTATTTTTGATTTTCTGCTGTTGCTGCTGCAGATTTATTTAGCGGTATGACAATGATGATAGTTTCCTATACTACTGATTTTTCTTTCTATTAATTCCAGTTAGCAAAGTGATGTCAGTCATAAGATTGAATATGTACAGTAACTGAATAACCTACCGAATTGGCAATATAGTACAGTAGGCCTACAACAAATGTGGATTACTATGTCAATATAAACGGAATGAATTTTTAATTAAATAAAAGTTTAAAAGAATATAACCTTTACATAGACGAACCTACACTAAGCGACGTCATTGCGACCTAGGACTGACATAAAAAACGGAAGTTCCTATTGGCTTTAATATAGTACCAATACCAGGTTGACATAGTTCAATATGATAGAGTGCATTGTCAAGGGATTCATGTATGCGATGACAATTACAAAGTCAATATCGATGTGAGAGAATATAGAGATGTATGATAATGAACTCACTGTGCTCAGCCATCCTAACCACTTTTAAATGAGTGATCAGTAACAGCTGTTTCAATATCATGTTCACATCAAAGTACATAATGGTGAGTATAGACAAGATTAACTGTAAAACTTATCTTCAGCCGTGGTTGTCATCCTTTTTCAGACCGAGGTCGATTTTTAAAAAATGTCTCGATCGCTCAGGTGCAGTTGATTTGCCCGACGGGGGAGGTCAGAGGTCGGGCAAATCAAATGTCCCAAAAGTGTTCCAAGGGGTGAAGCCCCAAAAAATATGACAATTTTAGGGGTTTCAAAGGCTTATTTAATCAATTTTGGTTTCTAATATTAAGTACTAATATGTAGAAAAATATGTTGAAAATACATACATATTTTTCCCCAACGAATTGTGGTTTTTCTCCCTGAGAGGGGCCCTGGTCCCCCAGTCCTGGTTTTATGATGTGTCTCTACCCAGTATACAATAGATACTGTACCTTTAATTGTCATTGCATAATGTGCAGGCAAGAGGCCCTACTGTCAAAATTCACTACAATATCATCTTATACCCCATTCAGACTAGCATCGCATTGTAATAGGTTGTAGCAATTGTGATACCCAAGGTCAACATAGGCCTAGGTCAGTCAACATAGGCCTAGCCACCGAGGTCTAGGCCCTAGAATGTAAAGTTTCTTTGTGTTGGTCTGAATGCGCTCGTTGATTATGATTCAGTTTTGTATTACTACCGATTACATCGCTCGCAACACAGTGTTTGTGTTGGATTTCGTGTGATTACAAAACCATCTGGAAAAGAGGCTACTTGAGGTATCGCCAAATTTGGCCGGTTTATGACCCTGGCGATGCCTACTTGTTCCCTCAGGCTACGGCAAAATAAAAAGTATCACTGGGTGTATTTAGTGATTTTCTTGGATACCTTTTTGTTGGTTTCATTGACTAATACCCCATTCAAACTAGCTTCGCATTGCAATCGGTTGTAGCAATTGCGACACCAAATCGCACCCAATCGCAAAGTAAAATCATGTCTGAAAGCTCACCAATAGTAGTCGATAGTTACCCATTGCGATTGGGTGCTACAATCTCTATTACTCCCGATCACTACGTAATCCGATTGCAACGGCACTGATTGACTGAGGTCAACAAAACATGACGACCTATATCGTTGCTAGTGATGTAAAGTATCATAGTAAAAAGGTGTCTGAACTATTTTTTTCCCTTTTTTATAGTACTGTACTGTAATTCTATTTTGGATTTGTATATTTCTGTGGTAGACCTTTAGGCCGCTTTTTTTTTTTTTTTTGTTAATTACGCGGCTTAAGTGCAACTGATATAAAAGTGTATATCTGAATAAATTAATATTATAGATTATAATATTTTCTTTGTAATTATCGCTCGGCAAGTAACGCGACGAAATCAAGCACATGTCATTCTTGTCTTGTCGCTCCGCAAGCCTATGGCCTTCCCCCCTCCATTCGTCTGTCTGACTAGCGTTTCATCAGACAGAAACAGTCAAAAGAGGGTCATCTCCCATGATACTCAACCGTTAGCAATGGCAAGTACAATAATTAGTGAAGTAACAACAAAATACATTGCTCCATAAGATGCTTTCAGGTGTAAAACACTTATTAGCCCCATTCATATCCAACTATGGCGAGATAATTTTAGTGGATGAGCTAGAAGATCTCGCCATAAGTTTGAGTATGACCGCTCAAGTATGGCGAGATGAAGGCCGCAACTCGCCTAAGCCCGTCGAGTAAATTTATGTCGACTAACTTCTTAATCCAGTCTAAAGCCAGTAAACAATTAAACAGCGGGTGGCCACAGGTCACGAATACACCAATCAAATTGAAGCAAAATGACCTTCCATGCTTGCTGGTTAGCGCGTTTTTTAGTTACTACTGTATCATAAACACCATTCAGAATTGACGCAGTCTCCCTGATCTGTGTACTTTAATTTCAAGAAGTCTTATTTTGCAAATGATGACCGAAAAGTCAGTAAACAAACGCCATCTATGGACGTATGTGCAGGAATGTGATTTAATAGATATCTGGAGGGAGCCAGAAATCGCTGAAAAAGTTGAAGATAAATTGTACCGTCAGAAGGCTAGTGTCCACGAAAGGACTGCAGAGAGAATGCGGGACTTAGGCCACAATAGCATAACATCGGCAATTGTTGTGACAAAGTTGAAAAATCTAAGAGCATATACCACAAGGCTGTGAGAGATGTTTTTATTCGTGGGACGGGCAAGGGGTCGGCCAATGTAATAAGGGATGACCCGAAATCGGCATGCCCAAACTACCACGCGCTAAACGAAATACTTGGGGGAAAACCCAGTGTAAACCCTCCAGCTGGACTCCTCGGCCAGTCTAATCAACCGCCGAGACCTAGGCCTAGCTTACTCCTATAGTCTCGATCTAGCATAAACTAGTCGCGCGAAAATCAACAGTAATTACACACCATGCGATTGTACTTCCTGTCTAATGATGTGTTTTCCGAATTTCTGGTAGTCAAAATATCTCGCTCTAACCTTAACGTCGAACGCGATTAGTGGATTTAATCCAATTAACTTGGCAAGTACATCAGCTACTTCATCTGGCTATAATCCCATATGAACCTAGCTATTGGCATGTCGTATAAACGGCAAAGTTTGGAGGGTCGCCTTGGTTTAGTTAAAATACATTCAAGGACATAAAACGTGTTCATGGTTAGTGTGTTGTATAAACACAACCTTAGACTCAACAAACCTGTCATTGATTGGTGTGGTTGGCACTGTGGTTGTTATTGAGTCTTCTAAACTTGGTCAGGAGATTTCTTCTCTGGTCACTAGCTACAAGTTTTCTTGGGGAAGAGATTTTATATTGTCGCTTCCAGTATACATATGTACTTTCAAAATTGACTACAGTATCATCTTAGACCCTATAAACAAAAACTGTGATTGGTTGGTGTCCTTCGCACTGTGGTTGGGATTCAGTCTTTTAACCTTAAAGGTCAGGAGATTCCCTCTCTGGCTACTAGCTGTAATTGGCCTTGGGAAAGATATTTTGTGTTGTCTATTCCCTTACTTTAAAATGTCAATACACTGATACAGCAGCAACATTATGGTACAATGCCCTAGGGAATTGAGTATCATATTTTGAAGTAAATAGTGTGAAGTGTCTTCAATATGCACTATTTACACAGTATATAATACTGGTCAACATTTATTATCACGTTTTCTGGTAAAATAAATATTTGCATACTGTAATCTATCTACCAAGAGAATTTGGTTTTTTTTTTAAATGACATTTTTAAAAATGTCAGTGTTGGGTACAGTAGTAAACAATAAGCATGGCACAGAGTAGCATGTAAATTAGAAATATGTAAATGATATGCAAATTGGAAATGCGTATGGTACACGCAAATTAGAGAATAGCAGTTGTTGATCAAATGTTAATAATTAGTATACTATATTTAGGTTTTCAGATTTTTAAAATAACTTGTTTCTAGAAACTTTTCACTGACAAGTTATGGAAAATGCATAATTTTATGGTAGTATAACATGTTTTTTTATTGTAATTGTAAATTAATTTTGTATTTATCACACACAGTTTATCATCAAACAGTATTAAGATGTACACTATGCTAAACGTACTATTTCCGAGTTTTTTCAACTTTGAAATTCATGATGATTTACAGTTGATTCAAAACTAGGACTTTGAGATATTAACCACCAAACTACGGCTCCACGCCATAACATAGACAAATAATCTGCTTGACTGACTAGGCTCATAAATATAGATGTACACGGGTATCACAAATACACGCATAATTCGAACATCAAGATGAATATCCACAGGTATAATAGCTACCTGATTTTGCATTAATATAATAGTAATATGCTCTGCTTTCGTTGTTTCAGTAAAATTCAATTGTGATTTATGTCTGATAATATCACAATGTATTGTAAATGTCCTAGTAATTATGAATGGGGCTTGGCATATTAAACTGTACTACCATAGTACTGCACATTAATATTATTTGGATAATGTTTATGAGGCAGTATATAATAGTGTTACCATTATATGCAAGAAGATATTCTTTAGTTAATAGTATTACTATTGCATGCATATTGGTAATGCTTGCACAATAAGTGCAATTATTCCAGCCTTATAGGCTCATGAAAAAAAAAATTATTGTTCCCTGTAGTCAAAAAAAAAAAAAAGCTAAAGTGCCGACCGTGAATTTCGTAAAATTTGAGTCAGTCGCGCATGGCAACACAATCATTTTTTTTTATTTGGCCATCTGGGAGCTTATATAGGATGAAACTAGGAAAAAAGACCTTCGCTTTACTGTTCGGTTCAGCTAACATGAGGCCATAGGCTATCCACCCATATTGTTTTTCTTTATTGTTGTTGTTCACTTATTAGATAAACCAAGTGCAATTATCGTAATATTTTGCAACCCAGTAATTTTAGGTATGTTGTGGGTTGAGTACTAATATGGTTTTGGGATACTCTAAAATTTGGATCATAATCATTGAAATTCTCAGTAAAATTAGCTTTATATCCAGTAGGGAACTTTAAGTAGTACATCCTATTTAATGCAAATTAACAACTTATTTTTTATGATGAAGTGAAATAACAAACATTAAGAAATAGCTTTCACTTGGATACTGTTGACACCAACAGTTATTTCTGAATAAGCAATAAGGTAGATAAGTGTTTTTGCCATCCAGTGGATGTTACTTTGAGTTTTTGATAAACACAAGCAGTTTTGAAATGTATTAAACCATGATTGCTATTATATTTTTCAAATTACAATAACATTGTAATTACAAATTATATTTTTGAACCCTATTACAAATTACCCCCAATTACATTAAAACATGTGAGGTCCCATAAAAAAATTATTACCTTTATCACCCTATCAAAGAATAAAAACTAATGAGGGAGAGAATTTTTTTTTTTTTTTTTTTTTTGCTAACCCCACCCCCATTTTACCGATGTTCACAAGTAAATCAATGGTTAGAGACACATATAAAAAGTCATAAGAATGGAATCAAATTTATATTTAAAAAATATGTTTTTGTTGTACCAGTAAACATATTTGCAAGAAATCCTGAGCTTTTCGAGTGAAAAAAGATGGGAAAATGACTGTTTAAAATAAGTCATGTTGATTGAAAAAAAAAAAAAAAAAAATCTGAATTTCCCCATGATGAGGGAGGGAGTGATGAGGGAGGATAATCATAAACTAATGATTTTTTTTTATGGTTCTTAATGGTTACAATTAATTTTACGATTAACCCCATGGCTGTCAATGACACAGAAGTACACAAGCATTATTTATTATTTATTAAGTAAAAAATAGAAAATTATATAAAAATACATGTAAATATACATTACTTTATTGTAAGAAAAATATGTAAAAGAAGTAACATTATGACCCATGACAAAATAATAACATAGGGCCTACAGGAACCTTGTGAAGTAATACATAATTACACCGGAGTATGGAAAAACCTTTCTTTAAATATAGATAATTATAATGTATTGTAATTTGTTACAGTTTTTGATCCATGGCCAATAAATGTACTTGTTACTTGGCTTGACAAGAAGGAAAAATAGAGATTCACAAAGTACAGTAATGTGGGAGGAATTAATAGTTATCCTACTGTAATGGCCCTTGTCAACTGACTTTTTAAATTAAAACTGATTTTTCATTGGCATAGTTTAAGAAAAGTAAAAAAAAAAACCAGCCTACGCCCTTGCTACAGTATGTGCGCCATTATAATCACTGACAACAACATTCGTCCAGATGCTGAACAGACGATGACCAATGTCAGCATAGAGTAGAACATCATTTTCAGTGGCCTCTGTTGGTTTAAATCAAATTAATTATTTTTGCATCAATGCTAAATGTAAATAATAAGGCACATTATGTGCATACTGTAGCATAATCTTCATAATGTTAAAATGTTCTACCATATTTAAACTGCTGTGAAATTGTTTTTTTCAAAATCTGTTCTATGTGCACCAATATAATCCTTGCAATTACTTCCAGTGGTCTTTTTGTTTAAAATCAAATTCATTATTTTACATCAATGCTTGGTAAATAACGAGGCACAGTAAGCTTCATATGTTAACATACTGTACATTGTACCTGTGCAAGCAGCGAAATTGTTTTTTCAAAATCTGTGTCATGGGAATGCATCAGCTAATGCAAATACTCCACTGTATAATGAGCATGGCTCCGAGTCCTTAGTCTTTCAAGTATAATTGTACAGAAGAAAATGTAAGAATATGTATTTCATTATATTCATTCACATGTTTCTGGATTTCTTTAAATACTATTAAAGTATCTTCCATTTATTTGGGTTTTTTTTTCATATTATACAATCCTGAATTTGTTTTTGTAATGTACAGTAAAACGTCCATTTTACAAACGTCGATTTTACGAATGGTCTTTGCCCCTGATGACGTCATCATTGAACAATTATTACTGTAAAAAAAGTTTGATTGTGCACGTTTTACAAAGTGATAATGTGTATTTTGCTTAATAAAATCAAGTTTGTTGTACAGTATTTATTTATGAATCTTTTTTTCCATTTCTGGTATAATAATCACTATATTATTAATGTAATAAACCTAACCAGAACAACAAACTACCAACTCAAGTGTTGTCGGATTGAGCGCACATGTTTACGATGATGATCAAGACTGAAGTTGGGTCAGC